TTGTTCTTATATATGTTGAAAGACTTAAGACAAAAGCCGGAGTCGATTCACTGAAGCAATCCAAAGTTATAAGGATTTTAATTTGAATTTTTTGGTTAGATTTGACCATAGAATTTGAAAATTCTCAGGAAAAAAGCAATAGAAGCATTTATGCGCTCTAGTTCTGAATAAATGATAACATTCTGCACAATCCTTATTACTCAAACTATATGAGAAGAGCATATTCGTAAAAATCAGTCCTTTAACTTTTTGCTACTATTGTAGGTACTAAACATCCTTAATGGCATCTTTATACAATTATAATTTTTGTTAATTAAAATTGTTTGCAAAAATATTAACTACAATATTAAATAGTTGCTATTAGATTTCAATTATTGCACCTATTTCATTATAATTATTACATTAATTAATTTATATTAATTAATATATAATTAATCTTTCTTGTATATCTCTGATACAGTCGAATCTCAAGGAACCAGAAAAACTGTTCGAGTTATAGAGTTTTCACTTATCGAAATTTGAGTAAAAGAAGGTTAACAGATGAAAATTCGACTTGCGGAGGCTTTATACGAGAGTTTATAATTTTCCGATTATAATGGCTTTTAGAGGAAAAAAAATCAATATTTAACAGTAAATTATTTATTGCATACATATGATAAATGTAACCATAAAACAAAATGTCAGACTATTACTCGGTTATACATAGCTACAACTTCGAATTATAAAGATAGCGACAATAGCAGTTCGACTTATAAAGGTAAACTTCGACTTGTAGAGGTGTGGTTACTTTAAATTCGAGTTACAGAGGTAAAATATATACCTAAATGCCTGACAAATAATTCGAGTTAAGGTAGGTTTTATTTCGATTTATAGAGGTTTTCCGCAGCGGAGCGGAAGGAGATATTTCGTCTTAGAAAGATTTTCAAATTATAGAGGTTCGACTTATCAAAGTTCGACTGTATCAATATAATATCGGAAACATGCAAGGTTATTAATTATATAAGTATAAAAACACATAAGTCTATAATGCTTACATAGAAATAGATTACAATAGCCAAAATACTATGAATTAAATTATGATATTTAGTTAAATTAAAAATATATTATATATGTATAGAAGTCTTTATTTTACTATTTAAATTTGCTATTATTTTGATTTTTTCATCACTATTATTTTATTTGAATGACACAATACTTCGTTAATTATTTCAGCACACGGTTGCATACTCCGTATGCAATACCGTATACATTTCAAAGTACACGCACGTGCATCATCAGCCGCAAAACAGCATGCATTAAATAACTTGCTAAGCAGAAGGACCGATAAATCGTCACTATCTCGTTCCCTCTTCATGATCAACGATCAACAAGTTGCAAACCGGTTCTTAGCGATACACGCAATTAACGTCAATTGCTGGTGACTTTAATTATTAATCGCCTTCTCTTCGAACGCTTCTGGACTTTCTTATGCGTGTAAATTAGTACATCGTTTTCTCATTGACGCGTGTCACAAACAAATGAGATTTTGTATCCAAAGGCGACTGTAGAAATTTAGATTAAAGAATTTAAATTATCTATTATACAAAATACCGATGGTACCACTATTATTTCAAGTAACAACGATAATGCATCTCTCTTTTTATAAAAAAGTTACATTATATGACATGTCTGAATTCGCTGTTTTCAACAATCTTCCAATTCTTCCAATATTTGTCACAATGTAAAAATTGTTTGAGTAGAAATTCTTCGCAAAAATTGATCACAGTGTAATTTAGAATTATTAAAAGTTAAAGTATTTTAGCGAATTTCTAAAATTTATTCCAAATTGATAATGTTTAACTTATTGTTAGGTTGAAACTTCAGCATTGAAAATTATTTAATAATTATGACAAAAAGTAGTATTCAATTTTACTTGATATATTTTATAAAATTTATAAATTTTATTTGATATATTTTATAAAAGTTACCAGAAAACATTTTTGGAAATCCAATTTTTCGAAATATTTCTCAATCTTCCACATTAATGCAGTGTAACGCAATGCTATTGTCAGACTTAAAATAGATTTTGCAAAATATGACCGATGTTAAGACCGGTTGTAACTAGAACGGAATAACTAGAACGAATTAAACTCGCTTTCGACGTAAATCGTCGTTTGCGTGCGAAACTCTGAATTAGTCGGACGATTAAGCTGTAGTATGCATGCGTAGTGTAGAGGATTAGGTACAACGCCTAAGGAAGCTCTTCCTCATTACATTTAAAGTGCCCTCTCGTTAACCCATCTTAACCCTTCGTAACTTCGCGAATGAGAGTTTTTTATAAGAGACAATTGAACCGTTTAATTTTAATGATAAAGTTTTATTTTTTTCTAAATATCTAAATATATAAATGCTCTTAAAAATATTATTTTTATATAATTTTAATTTTCTCTTTCAACTTTGAAAATGTATATTTCAAAAAAATATATATATTAAATAATAACGCTATTAAAACGTTTTCAACTAAATTTTGTATTCCTCTGCAGTAATACCTATTATTTTCTATCAGGCGAATATCCCTCTCAAGCAGCATAATTACTCAAAATCAACGAAGAAAATAACTTCAAAAGGAGTTATTTGCAAATTTTAACGAGAATTCATGGAATTTAATAAAGAAGTTGAAGAACATTACGCGAAAAGCGAAAGTATAGTATATCGACAATGCAATTATACTGCTAAAAAGATTAGGTGTGCACCAAGGTGTGCACTTTACATTATTATCACAGAACATCGCGAAAATTGAAATATGTATCTTGAAATGAAAATGAGTACTGTTTCACTTTATTGTTGTTCGTTTGATACACTAGCGACAGATACAATTGTCAATCTCCTATTTATCATTTTCAATCATTTCTTTCTAAAATTACTCGACTATTCTGATATTACAGAGCATATAATATTAACATATTACAATACGATAAAAATAA